TGTTCTTGGCGGACCACTGGGCCCCTCAGCAAACAGGGAGGCGAGTGTGCACCCGGCCTGGGCCTGTTTGTGTTGGCCATGCCAGGCGGGGGATTAGCTCAGCTGGGTTGCTAATTGCCTCCGAAGTGCCGGCTGGGATGCTGACAAGGACTGGACCCCTAGACCCCTCCTACCCCAGTAGGCATAGTGCCAGGCTTGGGGGCCTGGCCCAGAAGGGCCCCTTTTCTGTCAGCGCCTGCTTGGCCTAGAGCCTTGAGATGCGGGCAGGGGGTCACCACAGCTGGCAGCTCAGGAAGGAGTTGGAGTGGGGGGAGATGCCTATGAAGTCATCGCTTGGGCTAAGCCAGGTCACACTCCCTATGCCTCTCCTCCACATCCCTGAGGGGGGCCCATCAGACTCCACTTACCTCACTTCTGAAGCGTAGCACTCTCTCCTCTTACTAGGAAGCTGCTGGGTACCTCTCCCTAGATGTCCTCTACCTCAGATTGTCCCCTCTCAGTCTCTCTCCTTGTCTGTCTCCCTCTCTGTTCTTTTGTCTGTCCTCTTGACTTCTGCCTTTTTCTCTGTTTGCCAGCCTTTCTTAGCTTCCCATATATTCCCTTCTGCCCTTTATTTTCCTGTGTGCTGTAGGCCCATACTTGACCCCAAACTCTGCCTCTGTTGTTTCCCAGACTTCCGTGGATGGCTTGTTCTCAATAAGAGGCTGTGAGGAGGGCCATTTTTTCACAGCATTTCACTGTTCTCCTAGAGCCCAAGCTCTTTTCAGGCCCAAGCTCAGGGTGGCTGCCAAGGATGGAGTCCTACTGCTGTTCACCCTAAGAGCCTTGAAAGCCTGCCTCTGGGTTCTTCCTGTCTTCACAGGCTAAGCCGGCTGAGCCCTCTGGGCCCTGCTACAAACCCTTCTTACAGCTCTGACACTCCCTCCTCGACTGTGCCATTCTTAGTTCATGCTTCTCGCCCACATAGGGGCCTTGGTTCAGCCTCTCTAGCTGATGCCTGGGGGCTGCCTTGCTATAGCCTTGTTCACTGCTGCATGGATATCTTTACACTCCCACCCCGCAAGCCTCTGTTCTGTGTGGAGATTTCTGCCTTCAGAGATTTGCCAGCTTCTGCTCTTGGGGATGGGTCCAAATTGGGACCACAGTCTGGGGGTACCTGTCTTCAGCACCTAACATGTTCCACACTATCTCTGCTCTCCTTCTTCCAAACCCTCCCTTCTGGTTCCTTTAATCTTAAAGCATACATTACCTGCCTCATAAATTCCTAAAAACAGAATCATTGTAATATTTATAATAACAGCAGTTGTTTATTGAGCTTTATATATGTTATTTAACATCCCTAAGAAATAGGGTCTATTGTTTAACCCCTTTTGAAATGGGGTTAAATGGGGTGGGGGGTAGCAGATCCCTATTACAGATGAAGAAAATGAGTTCCAGAGAGGAAAAATGAGTTGCTAGAGTTCTGTTTAGCAAGGAAGTGGTAGCACGGGGATTCAAAGCCAGGCTTCTTTTCACAGTTCTAGAGAATGATTGGGTATAGACACCTTTACCACTTTGCTCCGCATTCTTGGACCATCGATCCAGTCTTCATCTTTCTGCCTTGACTTCCTCATTAGATGATAGGATGCTCTTTTCTGTCTGCCTGTGCTCTAGACCCGTTTTCTTTGCCCTGGTGGCTCCTCCTGTATATTATTTAACCGCCCCCCCCCCACACACACACACACAATTCATCACAAACTCGTGTGCCCCTTGCAATGCTGAAAGCACTTTCCTTGAGCCCTCTTTACCCGACTCAGCTTTTGGAAAGCAAAGCACATAGCAACTTACTGGACTTCATGCAACTAACTGCACAGGCAATGGCCTCCCTTGGTAAGGATGAGGACTTTACCCAACTAGACTAGAGGTTCCTAGAAGGTAGCCCGGGTCTCCCCAGCAGCAGAGTTCTCCCTTGGCAGTGACTTCTGACTAGGGTTCTGAAGTTCTCCATCCAGACTCCCTATTCTGACTGGCCTCAAATCTTGGAGTTTACCTCCAGCCACAGGCTGTGGGCCCCTTTGTCCCTGGGCAGGAACTAAGTGTTTTCCCTTGCCCCCTTTCTCTTGTATCAGCACCCACTTCCCCATACCCTCTTCTGTCATTGTGTTTGCCCTTCCTCACCACAGCAACACTCCAGAAAGGTTCTGATCAACTCATTTAGGCTTTAAATAGCTGATCATGGCTCATTGAGATGTAGATCTAGCTTCTGTATATTGCTGGTGGCATTTCAGATGGTGTGATGGGTCCTTTCCTTGTGGCCTTTAAACCAGTTATTCAGAAGAAACGGGGGTCCCCAAATCTAGAACTTGCTACTATTTATCTGCTTTTCCCATGTTTTTCCCCCAAGTTTCTCTTCTATAAAAAAGTCACTGACACAAGTGCAAGATAAAGAAATAATCATTTTATCGTGCATTAGACTATGTCATGGGATGTCACGATGGCATAGAGTCTAGTATATAAATTGGACGATGAGGGGGAGGGCAGCAGAGATGGGTAGCAGCATCCAGAGCTGGGGCTTGTCCAGCCCTAGGCCTCAGAGGGCGTGAACTTTGCCTTGGGACAAGGTAGTAGAGTTTCAGACAGAATAAAGACCCTCTGGCCATCTTCTGGGCCTCTGTGGGACCAAGAATGGGTGGGCTTTGTTTGAGACCTGTGCTGGTTCCTCCTCTCCTTTATTGGAGTACTTTGGGGCTGGTTGTGTCAAAAGAAGCTCCATTTTCCCAGGGCTGTAGATCCCTTTGGTCTCTGAAGTGGTGGTGGTGGTGGTGGGGGGATGGCAGTAGGGCTAGTTGGGTTGAGGCTCCAGAATGTGGTCCAGTTCTCCTGTGTCACAGCCCTTCATAACCCTAGGAAGATGAGCTCTGAGCAGCCCCCAGGCAGGCAGCAAGGTGAAGCCTGTGACAGGCACAAGTGCCTCTCACTGCCATCGAGCCACCCTAGACTCACTCTCCCCTCGGCTCTGGGGATGAGCCTTGTGGGTAGAGGAGAGTGGCTCAGCCCTGTTCTCTGGAGGGGAAGGGGTCCCCACTGTATCCTGTGCGTTAGCTTTTGCCAGTGAGGAATTGTGTTTTCTCTGCCCCTGAGACCCAGCAGTAGGCTCAGCTGGGCAGGTGTGGGGACACTTAGTTGGCTCAGCTTTCCCACATCAGATCTGGCCTGCCCCAAGATATCCCCATATTCGGCTCCCGCATCTCACTTGGTTTTGGCCTCCTTTCTGGATGGACATTGAGCAGAAAGCTTGGCTGGGGGCCAAGGGTTTTGACCCTCCTCTTCATGAGGGAGCCAATACCAGGAGGCATAAACCACAAGGCCTGGAGGAGTTTCTGCAGGCTGGAGCCATAATGTGAATCTCAGACTGTGAAATCAGACACTGAATGCTGGAGCCAAGAGCTTGAGCAGAGCTCAAGACCTTAAACCCAGAGCCTAGAGCCATGCTGTGGTGGCAGTGTGGAGGCTGGGCTGGGGCAGAGCAGGTGCTTCTTTGATAGTGAGCTCCTCTGGCAGTTGGAAGCCCAGCCTGGAAGCGACTGGGTCAAGGGCCAGGTCTTGCTCTGCACATGTTCTGTTCATAGCAGTCTGGGCCAGGCTCCTGAGGGTTTTTGGCTGGGACACAGGGCAGGCCCAGGCTACTGGTGCTGTCTCTTGGGGACTCTTTTATTATCTATGGAACATGGGCACTCAGAGACCTAGAGGTGCTGGGCGGGGGGTGGCGGGGGGGGGGGAACGCAGTTGCTTACTTCACCCGTCTTCCAGAGGTGTGCCTCATCCCTCAGAGCCTGTCCTGCCGTCAGGAGCCACACAGGCTCAGCCTGTGGTGTGTAGCTCCTGCTGCTTTCTTGCCCTCATTCTCCAGCCAGAGTCCCCCTTCCCAAAGCTTAGACCCAAAGAATCTGCAGCTTCTATGCCTTTAGGTGAAGGAGCCAGGGTGGAGCATTGGCTCTAGGATTCTTCTGACTTCAGTCTGTTCATCTAGCTTGCCCTGTGACCTGGGCAGTTGTTTCCCTCACAGCTGTAAAATGGGTGCAAGAAGCCCTGTTTTGTCTGACTCCCAGGGCTGTTGTGATCGTCAAATGAGAAGGCCCAGTACATGGCTTGCAACATAGTATTTGTTCAATATATTTTGTTAAGTGAGTGAAACGTGGTTGGGGGAGGCCTTTTAAACAGCTATTCCTGTGTGTGTGTGTGTGTGTGAGTGTGTGTGTGAGATTTCTTGTTTCATTCTCACAAAGGAGCAGCACTATGAGAAAGTGACTCAGATGGGGGCATCCCTGCAAAGTCCCACTAGGATCTCTGACTCAGAATGGTAGCCTGGGAGGGACTCACAGGGGGTTTCTTACTCCACGGGAGAGCCTGGGATTGGCTGGGCTTCGAGTGGGACTGTAGGCTTGTTTTGTCCTCCCCTTACCTGCTTTTTTTGCTGGAAGGTCCCACAGAGATTGGATCTCCAGCTGCCTGGTTGAGGGCTGAAATGAACCCTTTGCCCTTGACCTGGTACCTGTTTATTGCTATTCCAGGAGCTTGAGAAACAAGGCTACCAGGCTTAAGCTGCCAGGAGTGTGTATGTCTGTGGGGGTGAAGAGTTGTGATTTTTTTTTCCCCTTTCTGGTGGGGGTTGGTGGTAGTGTCACTTCCATCGTGATGGCACTGATTTTTCCGTGCCCTGGGTGACTTCCCTCTCCTAGATGGCAGGGCCAGTAGCCACATGGCTGTAACACTCCTTATTACCCACCTTAGGTCTGCAAGTAGAAAAATAGGCACAGATAACAACGAAGTGGTCAGCAGCAACCCATGTGACAGCCAGAGGCATGAACAGGATCCCTTTGGTCAGTGGCAGCCACAAAGATCCAGGCTTCAGAGAGACCCTGGTTGGTGACCTTAGGGTCGCCTACCTGGTTTCAGCAATAAATAACATGAGGACCCAAAAACCAAACCAAAACAAAAAATACAACCAGTATCTTTTGGGGTAGGTGGTGAGGGACTGTTTAAATTATTGGCCTTCCCTGGGCCACTAGGTGGTTGCTGGGTTTATGGCCAGGCACGCAGTCATCGGCACGTGTGCAATTCTACAAGCCGCTGGCACTGCCGGCACTTGACAAAGCAGCACCAGTGGAATTTGCAGCTGCAACGTTCAGCCAGCTCAACCTGGGCTGTGTGGAAGCCTCGGCCACAGCACAGCAGCTCGCAGCCATCAATGGCCTTGGACGTCTTGTTACATGTGCGGCCTCTCGTGCCCAGCACGCCGCTGCGCATGTCCTGCTCACAGAAGTCTGGGCTGGGTTCCAAGTACACCAGGTCCTCATCTGTATGTGGCTTGAACTGTGCGTTGCGTGGCACCAGGGCCCTGGAGGACCCCACACGGCGTGGTTCCACCTCAGTGGCGCCATCAAACTTCTCCTTCAGTGCATGGCCCACCTGGCGGAAGGGTGGCACAGCCCGCCAACACGTCTTTACTTCACAGGAGCCTGACACCCCATGGCACTTGCACTCTACCCGCATGTGTGTCAAGATAGCCTGTGGGGGAAGGGCAGAGAAGAGGTCAGTGAAGTCTGGGGAGGGAGCCATGGGGGCACTCAGTGGGCGCTTTGGGAAGCACACCCCTGGATCGGAGTTTTCTGTCATGCTTCTGCGTTACATACCACCACCAGTTGCTGTCGAGTTGATTGTGACTCAGGGCAACCCTATGTATGTCAAAGTAGAACTATGCTCCATAGGGCTTTCATGACTGATTTTCCCAGAGTAGACTGCCAGGCCTTTTCTTCCAAGGCACCTCTGGGTGGACTCAGAGCTTTCATTTAGCAGCTGAGCTCGTTAACTGCACTACCCAGGGACTGTCCTTTGCATTAGTAGCACCTAACATGCTGTGGTAAGGTGCTCTGGTGGTGTAGTGGTTGAGGCATTCAGCTGCTAACCAGGTCAGTAGTTCAAACCCATCAGCTACTCCATGGGAGAAAGATGAGGCAGTCTGCTTCCATGGAGATTTAGCCTTGGTAACCCTATGGGGGTCGCTGTGAGTTGGAATTGACTTCATGGCAGTGTTTTTTTTTTTTTTTAAGATAAATATGCCATGGTGGTTTCTTAAGCAGTATTAGGAACAGATCAACAGACACGTCTGCCCTTGGGGCACTCAGAGTTGATAGAGGAGAGACACTAAGGGCAGTGTCATGTGAAACTGAGAGACAAATGATCTGATGGGGGAGAACACTGCTGCATTTAATCTTCACAGGAACCATGAAAAGTAGGTATGTAGAAGGCAAAGGGTGTCATTGTTAAACATGATTTTCACTGTGACACAGAGAATGGTTCATATCCTGGCTGTACTGCTCATTTGGGGGTCTGTATGACAAGAGAAATGGAGACACACAGGTACATACGTATGTATAAGTGGGGGGTATATGTGCTGTGCTGGGGCCTATTTACATTGTTTTGTGACACCTACTCACCTGTCTGCTTCCCCCACCCTGCTAGCCTGGGGCTGCTTTGCCAGGAGAGTAGGGGACCTGGTCCCAATATGCTCATTACCCAGCTCAGTGCCTGGCTTATAGGAGGTGCCTGGTGGTCGTTAGAGGCTCAGCAAATGTTCTTGAGATAGCTGCGTGAGTTGGAGAGTGCTGTGGGGCCTTTTCCATGCCCACCCCTCCCCTGTTGTTGAAGGGTGGGTGCCACACACACTACCTTCCTGCCGGCCTCGTTGTTGTGGAGGTTCATGAGAGCCCGGCTGGACGAGGCCCCCTTGCTTCTCTCCCGCACATCCACAAACGACTGTGAGAAAGCCACGCCATATGCGATGTTGTCCGAGCATCCTGACCACTGGAAGCCTGGGGTGCAGTAGGGCACAGAGAAGGCCATGGATGGGTGAGGGGCAGGGCCTAGAACCCTGCCCTCCTACTCTGAGTAGTGGAAGAGGAGAGGGGAGGGTGTGGTTCTAGTTCCCCTCCTGCACTTACCCTGTGGGCTGACCCCATGTACTGTCCGGTCACAGCCACACTTTTCCAGCTCCCCACTGCTGCATGCTCGTGTCACTGCAAAGGCCACACCTGCTGAAGAGATGGCATACACAAAGGCCGCCTCCCGAGTCCCTGTGGGGAGGCGGATGGAAGACAGGGCTAGGTCCCATTGCTCCTCCATTGTACCTTCCTTTTTAGAGGGGAAAAGGGTGTGGGGCCTCTTGAATGATGGAAGCCCATGGAGAGAGAGCAAGGCAGGTGGAACTTGCATGTGCCAGGCACTGTGCTGGTACTTGTCCTTATTGTGCCCATAGCTAATATGTGCTTACTGTTTGCCAGCACTGCTCTGAGTTCTTTGTGTAAGGATCATTTATTCCTCACAACGACCCTGTGAGTTAAGTACTGTTACTCTCATTTTAGAGAGAGGTTAGGCAACTTGTTCTAGGTCCCGCAGCCTGTAGTTCAGCCAGTATGTAGTCTGGTTTCAGAGCCTGTGCTCTTAGCTACATGGGATACTGTTGTCACAAGCTCTTCAGAAGATTAGTGATGTTAACATTATTTTATGCAAGACAGAATAGCTTGAAGAGATGAATTGATTCACCTGAGATGGCAGGGCTGTAAATCCAAAACCTGTTCTCTTTTTTTGTTTCCCACCTGGCCCCCATTGGGCTCTGAGGGGGTTCCCTGGCACTGTGCTCTTGCCCTTGCTTCCTCCTGAGGCTGGGCCCATTTCTGAATATGTGTTTCCTGAGTTTCCTGAATACGATTCCATGAGTTTCCTTATAACTTTAAGAGTAAATCATAATGTCACTGAATTGTGAAAAAATGTTGAAATGGTAAATGTTTTTGTTGCATATATAGTTTTTGTTGCAAAGTAGTAATGCTAGCTTCTGCTATGTCCCACAACTACTGCTGGGTACTGGGTGCCTATTACGCATAAGCCCTCCACCACCAGAGCTTTATGTGTCTCCGTTTTACAGATGTCTAAATGAAGGTTCAGAAAACGTGAGAACCAGGATTCACACCGATGTGACGGCTTCTGCTGCCTGTTCTTTCCCTTCTGCCCATGACTGCTCAGTGATTCTATTTTGGTACCTGCCCTCGTCCCCTGCCTGAATGGGTGTTTTTATCCTCCTAGGAACTAGGCTGTGTAGAACGGTGCCTTGGGGGTGGGTGTGTGGGGTATAGCATCTGTGGAGACTGGAGGATGGGCTGGGGGAGTTTATGCAGTGCATGTGTGCATGGCGGCCCGGTGTGTGACCAGACAACCCTGCTCCCCGCCTGGGAGCCTGTGAGGGCCTCTGTGTGCCCGTGACTGTCCTTCTGTCTCTTGGTGGAGTGCCTGTGTCCGCAGGAGTGGAGGGAGCAGGTTTTGGCCCTGTGGTTGGCAATTACCTCTGTGACACCCAGGCCTGTGCGCTCGGCTGCCCCGGGGAGCAGTCACCGTGGTCAGATGAAACAATCACCTCCTCTGTGCCTATGTCTGTGGATAGAGGCAGCAGAAGCTGGTGCTAGGGTGGGAGCAGCTCAGTACCCAGTGACTCGGATACCCTGTTCTCAGTTTGGGCTTGAGCTGGGGATACCTCCTACCACCCCCTCTCCACTGCTCACCCTCTGCCCCAGCCTGGCCACTTTGGGTCGACATTGGAGGCTTGGCTAGAGCAATGGGGCCTTGACAGCCTGAGATGGAATCTTCTCAAAAGTTAATCAAGTTTAATAGCAGGATCATTCATATTGGTTGGTTTTGTGCTGTGGCTGCCCAAAGAGAGATGAGTTCAGTTTCTGGTATTTCTGGTATTTCGAGGCCTGAACCAGCCAACATACATCTTTGCCCCGACGACCAAAGAGGAAGGGGAATCAAATCAGGAGATAGGGCAGATGGCACCTAGGGGGAAGCCCCAGCTCTTGGCCTTGTGTGGTCCTCTCTTCTCTGTTTCTTGTGGCTCTGTGGCAGCCCCAGGTGAACCCCCAGCTCTGGCCTAAGTACTGGTAGCCCCTGAGGTATAGGGCTCCCTGTGAGTTTGTTCAGGGAAACTTCTGCCTCATTCCTAAAGCCACCATCCATTTGCCTGGGCTCCTGGTCCATTTTCCTTGACCTCAGGGGAACAAAGAGACCACGACTTTCTCAGTTTGGGAGTGGGCCTGAAATAAGAAATTCTAGAAGATAATAAGAGCTAAAGCTTATAGAGAGCTTACAATGTGGTGGGCTAACATATATATTAATTCATACACTCTTCACAACAACCCTATGAAGTAGATAACTTTTAATCCTTAAATTGCAGATGAGAAACCCTAGGTACTAGGTGGTTAAGCGACTTGTCCAAAATACCCAGCTAGGAAGTGGTAGAGCCAGAACTTGAACTCAGGCAGTCTGGCTCCAGAGCTTTTGACTTCAACATTATCCTGCCTCAGGGGGCCCCCAGAGAGTACACAATGGAGTCCATCTCTTGCCACCTCCCATGTGTGAAGTCGAGAAGGGCTTCCTTAGGTCTACTCCAAGTCCTGTGTGCTATAGGATAAGCCCAGTTCCTTTTGTGGGTTCTTTACCAAGGGCGGTGAGCATTTAGCTTCTCTGTTTAGCACAGTAGGCTCCAGAAGGCCTGGAGAATGTGGTCAGGCCATCTTGCCCCTAAAGCTGATGTCAGTGGCTTTCTACCATACTCAAACCAGCTCTGGTCCCAGCCCTTTGGCTCCAGTGCTGTGCCCACTTCCAACTTGCACCTCTGCCTGGTGTCCAGGACCCCAGGCTGGAGCCTTCCATGCTAGTGGAAAACCCTGGCAGGGCCTGCTGTGCCCTGAGGTTGCTGAGACAGGACTGTGGTAAATCTGCGAGTGGAGCAGAGGAGCTCTGCAGCAAGGTGGTGGATGACTGCTCCTGTAAAGGGGTTTGCCTGTCCCAGAAGTCAGTTCTCACTTTATCCTTTCCTAGGATGGTAGAGCTAGCTGGGCCAGGTAAAGCAGAACTCTATAAGGTGCCAATGACAGTACTACAATGTTCTTTCTTTTCCATAAAGCCACTTGCTTTGTCCCACACCCAACTCTCTTCATCCTGCTGTTTGCTCTGCCCAGCATATCCCTGCTCTGACTCCATGGGTCCATATCCTGTGTGTAACCTAGGCCTGGCTTCAGTGCCATCTTTTCCAAATTGCAAGGCTGCCCGGGACTGGGAGTTCAGAGTTGTCCTGTGGCTCCAATAATGGTTACACTTTTTGAAGGCCACTATATGCCAGGGCCTTTCCATATATGTCTAAGGTACAGGGTGACTGGCAGTCCTCTCTCTCCAGCTCTGCTCTCCAGAGGAAGAAAGGTGTGGTGGCTTGCCCAGGGTGCCCTCAGCCAGGAAATGGCCAAGTGGGAACTGGAACCCAGGCCTGTCTGACTCAAGACCCATGATCTTCTGTCTCTCTCAGATGTAGGAAGGAAGGACATTTGAATGGGAAGGGATGTTTTGGGGAGAACAGGCTGAATTGGGCTGGCAAGGAAGTCAGGGGCATAGTAATCCCCTGGGCCAGGGCAGGTGTCTGGTGGATGTGAGGGAACAGGCACAACTTGGGTTGTTACAGAGCAGACCCAGCTGGTGTCCAAGCAAAGTAGGGCAAGACAGGCACAGGTGTCAGAGAAAGACTTTATTTCTTGCCCCTTTTCCACCCTTGTCCCCAGCCTGCCTTTCCAGTTCATTTTGCCCTCCTCTCATCTGCAAAAGCTCACCTTATTTTGAAACCACCTTATTTTGAAGCCTCTTTGGATTTAAGTAAAGGCTTTGGAGCCAGACAAAGCCATGTTAGACTCTTACTAGCACTGTAGCCTTTCTCTCTGAGCTTCATTTTCCCAACTCTAAAATGTGAATAGGAATGGTGTGCTGGCAGGCCAGACTGTAGCTCTTCTCCCGCATTTCTCTCACACCCTCAGACACTTACCAGGATGGCAAGTGCTCTCACTAGCGTGCCCAGCCCAGAGACTGCTATCAGGCTGCAGGCTATCTATCTTCCAATCTTCCAGTTGTCTGGTGTGTTTGGCCTTTTCAACCAGACTGGAAGTTCCTGGGGCCAGTCTGTCCCTCATATGTCTCCTCTGGAACCCCTAGCATAGGGCTGGCACAGCCCAAGCCCAGCACAGCTACTTGGAAACAGAGTTGAGCATTGGGAAAGAACATGGGCACTCACACAAGTGGGCATGAGTTCTAGTGCTGGTTCTGCCACTCCCTAGAGGTGTGATTTCAGCTTTCTTGTCTGTAAAATGGGGCTATATGAGTACCTTCTCTGCAGTGATTATGAAGACTTAATGACATAAAATAAGGAAAGTGCTTAGTCCAGTGCCTGGCACATAGTAGGCACTCGATACATAGTAGCTGTTGTGATTGTTATTGGTGGGTGGTTAATGCCCTTTTATCCATGTGCTAACAGATAGCAATTGTACAAGGACACTTTGAAGGTTATTAAGTTGTGTTTGCCATTGACTTTTCAGCTTCCTCAGGGCAGCACTCCTTGCTTGCTTGCTCCCTCACCAAACATTTGCTGATCACTTGCTCTGAGTTAAGTCCTGTGTACTAGGGGTACTGAGGTGAATCCTGTACTCAAGGAGCTACCAGTCCAGGAGTGTCTCTGGGGTGACCCCTCCTCCCAGTCCTCCTGTGACTTGTCTGATGGCACCAAAGAATGTTTTCACTCTCATTGAGTCTGCTTTGATGACAAAGGTGAGAATGTGGGTTTTAGTGAGTCTCAACCCAGGACTGAAAAGCATTTACTTCTGAAATCCAGCCTGGTGTTATGTTAGTAAAGTGTTCTGGATAGTGTCAGACTCATGGGAAGTGGAGAAGTTGGGCTCTGAAGTCAAAGACGGGTCTGGGTTTGAGTCCTCAGAGTGCATATATGGTCTCCCAACCATGGCAGCCAGAGCCTGAGAGGGTGTAGGGCTCATTGAATTCCCTGTCTTGGGACAGGGACTTGATTGAAGTCACAGAACAAGAAATGATAAAGGTAGGAGGAGATCCACTGTTGTCTACAGTAGATGGGGGAAAGCGAGAGGAGTTGTTTTTACCTCTTCCACTTCTCCAGCCCCCCTAGGGCAGCCCACTCTGACTCTCCCCATCTCCAAGCACAGCCTACTCACTGTGACCTTGAACCTTTGACTGG